CATCAATTAGGTACACCTCAATACACAACTATGACTTTGGCTTACAAAATTCTTCACATCATTTGTCTGAAAAACTTTTTATTTCTATTCAAAAAAGTTATTCTATATTAGAACTACAAACATTGTAAAAAAATTGTATCATATAATCTGTATTAATATCATTTCTAAAAATGACTGAAATCTTTCAATAAAAATAGTGTTCTCCTCTTGTAAAAATGCTGTTGAGAATTATTTAAGCAGGTCAACAAAGCATTTTCTATCCTAATATACTTCTTACAAAACTATTTACATTTGGATATTTATACCATACATTTAAAAATATTTGCAGGAATTGAAAGGTAAACTGATATTATCTTCAATAATTTATATTTGGCTTTTGTTTTGTGCCTAAATATGTATTTAATATAATGTAAAATCAAACTTATTAAAACAAGCAATGAAACTAATCTGTAAACAATAGATTCAGAAATATTTAAAAATCCACAGCTTAATTTCTTCCCAATAGCCAAGTCATATTGAAAAAATCAATACTCAGACAGAAGTATGCATCTTTCATTCTCTGATTTTTCCAGGTTAAGGAATGTTATATTAATTCCAAGTGTGATCACCTACCATAGTTTTATGCGTATATGTTTTTTTGCCAACTGTGCCCTCCCCACATGTTAAAAGAAATAAATTAGCATAGTGTGCTTACGAAAATATCTTGAGGAGGGGAAAGTATGGTTGGCAAAAACATACAATGCATGCATTATTTATGTAAAAATAAGGGCTATATGTGCTCCATAATGAAAAGTTGGCTACTGATTGAACTTTCTTTTTATGTCAGTCAAGATAGTTTACAATTGTGATTTGTAGAGTCAATGTTAAAACTCAGTCTTTTTTATATGATGGTATAAAACAGTGATTTAAAGCTAGTAAAGCAAATCTCATGGAACATAGGAAATAAAACATTTGAACTTTCTAGTATCATCCTACCAGTACAACAAATTTCCTGATCAAAATATACAAATGAGAGGGAGATGATACCACTTTTCTATTGCATTATCCTCTATAACCAAAAATAATATTGCCGTGGTAACCAAAATCTCCATTGTTTCAAAGAGCTGCTCTTTCATCTCAAGTTCTTTGGAATCAAATATTGAGATCACTGTGACAATGTATATCAACTTGCCAGATCCAAATGAAAATCCCTGATATTCAAGGGAGGGGATTTCTGAACATAATTTTCCCTGTAATGCCCTCAGGTTCACGAAGTCAGATGAAAAATAGGAAGGAAATAGGAAGGAAAAATAGAAAGGAAATGATTTCTAATTATCATTAATAACTAAAGAAAAACAAAGACAGGAAGCTGTAAGATGAATACTTCCAATGGTAGGACTAATACAGGAAAATGGAAATGTAGAATCTTAGTTTATCCTTGACAGGTTAAATTCCAACAATATGATTGTTATCATTTACTGAATGCCTTCTAAGGACCTGACTTAACTATGTTACATTTAATCCTCATAATGCTCTTTCAAGATGGGTTCTATTATCCCACATTCACAGAGTGAAACAGGGGCTCAGTAGCTCATAGAGTTAAGGTAATCTCCTAGTATTTCACTCTAAGTGGAATAGTTAGGATGTCAGCTCAGTTCTGCCTGATGACAATATCAGTGCTCTTTGTATGGTACCACCAAAATCACTGCCATCAAGTAGATTCTGACTCACAGTGACCCCCACAAAGGTCTTTACAGAAACAGACTGCATAGTCTTTTTCCTTGCAGAGTGGCTGGTGCGTTCAAACTGCCAACCTTTTGGTTAGCAGTCAAATGCCTTAATCATAGGACTATCAGAGCTCCACACACAAAAAAGAAAAACTAAACTCACTGCTATCCAGTCGCTTCTGACTCACAGCAACCCCCTTTGGGTTTCTGAGGCAGTAAATCTTTATGGAAGTAGATTTCTCAGGCTTTCTTCTACAGAGTGGCTCGTGGATTTGAACCTCCAACCTTCTGGCTAATAGTCAAATGCCTTAAGCACTATACCACCAGAGGCTCCACAGTACCTCAAAAATAATTATTTTATTGGATAACAGGGAATTCTAGGGACAGAAAGATCACTACATTAAAGTTTCCATACAGTGATATTACCAAAAGCCAGAGTGGTATAAATAAGGAAGGAAATGGAATAAAGCAGTGACAGCTTGTATTAGTTAACACCATACCTAGAGCACAATGGGAATAATATTTGAAAATTCATGAAGGTCAGTGAACCAAGTCATCTGGTCAGGTTTGTGAAGTTACCTGTCAAGACAGGTGCATCATTTAAAATTGGATTAGTGTCATTAGATGCACATTTGATGAGAGCATTTTGGATACAAATAGAATAAAATCAAAATATTTAAAGAAATTATGCACAAAAAATACCTATCAAACTGCCTGGCACATGGTAAGCATTCCATGGATAGCTAGTGCTATATTATTTGTATTAATAAAACAACTGAGTCTCTACAGACTTTCCATATTATACTATTACCTAATTGATACCTAGATGCCCTTAGATAAATTGCTTTCTCCATGACACTGTTCAAAATAAATATAAACAAATATTTATTTGTTCAAAATAAATATAAATGGTCATAGTATAAAAGAGGACTTAGTATTAAAAAAGGAAGTTATCAAATAAACAACTGTACCCTAAAAATTGCATTTACATCAAGTTCAAAGATTTAATGGCTCCTTAAGGAGCCTTGTTGGCACTGCGGTTAAGTGCTTATCTGCTAAATGAAAGATTGTCAGTTTGAACCCCTCAGCCACTCAGTGGAAGAAAGATGTAACAGTTGGCTTCTGTTAAGATTGTTGTTAATGTTTGGTGTCATTGAGCTGTACAGCAGAACAAAACACTGCCAGGTCCTATGCCATTCACACAGCCATTGTTATGTTTGAGCCCATTGTTGTAGCCACTGTAAGAAGAATCTTTCTCTTTTCCTCTGACCCTCTACTGATCCCTCCTGACAACATACGTCCGTAAACACTTTGGTTTCAAGGCCTTCTCGCAGCCCTGGCTGCTGCAGGGCCACATGTGGTCGCACACGGAGCGAGGGGCGAGAAGCCCTTCGGCTGCTTGCACTGCTGCAAGGCCTTCGCCGACCGCTCCAACCTGCGCGCGCACATGCAGAAGCACTTGGCCTATATACCCTATGGGGTACTCTGTCCTATAGGGCCCCTGTGGGTCGGAATTGAGTTAATGGCAACAGGTTTGGTTCTGTGGTTAATGGCTCCTTAGTTTCATTATTTGCTTATAATGGAAAAATTTTTCAAAAATGATTATATTACAAGGAATTATTATTGTTATTATTATTATTTTTAATTCTATATATAAAAACATGGGAGCTCTGGTAGCATAGTGCCTAAGGTACTTGACTGTTAACCAGAAGGCTGGCGGTTCAAACCCACCAGCCACTCCTCGGAAGGAAGATGGGGCAATCCACTTCTATAGTGATACTGCCTTGGAAACCCAAGGAGGGGTTCACTATGAGTCGGGTCTGACTCGATGGCACATAAAAACAACAACAACAACAAAGGATGACACTCAGGAGCCCTGGTTGCACAATGGGTAAACATTCAACTGCTAATCTAAAGGTTAGCAGTCTGAACCCACACAGTGGCTCTGTGGGAAAAAGACCTGGTGATTTGTTCCTGTTAAGATTACAGCCTAGCAAACCCTATGGGGCAGCTCTACTCTGTCATATTCAGCCTCTGTGAGCCAAAAATCAACTACAAGGCACCCAACAATAAAAAGGATGACATTCACTTTGAAGTCTCATCCTCCACCATTGAGATTAGATGTGCCCACATGTGAAGGCATTTGAATATGTTACTCTGAGGTAGAACTATGAGACTGGACTTCAAAGTCTGTAAGAAAGAAATGAAACCTCTAAATTGCCACATTCTTGACTCAAAAACCCAAACCAAACTCATTGCCATTGAGTCGATTCTAACTCACGGCAAACCCTACTGGGTTTCCATGGTAGTAAATCTTTACAGAAATAGATTGCCCCATTTTCCTTTTGCAGAGTAGCTGGTGGGTTTGAACTGCCAACCTTCTGGCTAGCAATCAAATGCCTTAGGCCCTGAGCCACCACAGCACTTTTACATTCTTGACTATAACTCATGTAATAAAGCACATTTTAACTCCCAAATGCATGCTTTTAAAACCACATTTCTTTTTGAGTAGAATATTATACATGTGATATATTCTTTATTAGCAACCATGCCAAAATCTGTAATTTTGACAAACAAAATAAATTTCTAAGTTTTTCAAATTCCATATTTACATTTCTATATATGAAGATGTAAACTGCTGAAGCAATTTTGTTAAAACTTTACTGAAAATTTACAAACAAAATTTTGAAAGTGTTTGTTGTTGTTATGTGCCAGCAAGTCGGACCCAACTCGTAGCAACCCCTCCTTGAGTTTCCAGAATCTCTATGGAAGTAGATTGCCCAACCTTCCTTCCAAGGAGGGACTGGTGGGTTTGAATTGCTAGCCTTCTGGTTAGCAATTAAGTGCCTTAGGCACTACACTACCAGATCTCCCTTTGAAAGGGTAGAGGAATGGTTTTAATCTCAACGTTAGCTCAATTAAAAGAGAAAACATGAAAGCCACCTCAATTTAATAACTTGATAACTCTTGATCAATTCACCACATAATAATAAGGCACTCAAAATGAGTTTTTAAAGTGAGGTCCTGCCCTTTGTGTTGTGCTATCACAGTGTTAGGTCACACTCTGACTGGGACCTGTCTGCCAGCAGAGCAGCAACAGCCTCTATGAAGCTGCTGTCATAGAAGAGTCATGGGTGCCTATGCACACCTACAGAGAAGCACAAAATTGACCTCAGAGTAGTGTCTTTGTGATATCTTTTCAACAAGTCATGTCCCATTCAGCCTGCTAGTTTATCTCTGTCAGGCTAGGGGCTCAAGTGGCTTACAGGAACTGTCAGGGACAGGTATACCAACCTGCTTTGTGCTGAGGAGGTAATGCATCTTTCGGGCTTGGTAATCTCTTTTCTTCTCTTCCTCTTCGAGTTTGGCCTTCTCCTCCTCTCTTTCTTTCGTCTGGGAAAAATCTGCCAGTGCTTCCCTGCATCACAACGGTCTGCAGTTATTTGTGGCACAAAAAATCTGCCATCATTTTAACTCTTTGACTGATAAAAAATCAAGTAAATTATTTGAAGGACAACCATTATCCATATCCATCAAAATCAATGCTGTAACATCTCTCACCTGCATATTCTATATGATCTCTATAATTTTAACAAAGCATTTAAGTGACATTTCTATTGATTAAACTTTTAAAATCAAATACTTATATATTATAATTAATTCAATAGCTGTGGAAATACTCATATCAAATGCAAAATAAATGAATTACTACATCCTCTGTGTCTTTGGTTCAACATTAGCTATTTTGGGCATACATTTATCCCAAGAAAACTTCTCAACTTCTTATTTCCTTTAAATTTGGTTTGATATTTATGGATCTCTAATCATTTATTTTGTTATCTAACTAATGGGCTAATTTTAAAAGTATGATGAGGTTCTTCTATACACAGAGTTCATTATACATTAACTTCAGTTAATAGTTTTAAATGTCAATACAATTACATATATTATTCTGCACTGAAAAGATTGACATTTTGTTCAATTACAAAAATAGAGTAAAATTCAATTAGTTGAATAAATTCCAGTCTTTTCTAAGTATACTAAATCCCATTAAAACAATAAGACCTTTCATTACTTATGTATATGTATCTAAGAAATTTAAACAAAAACAAGTTTTAAAAAATATACTACATGAGAAGTGCATAATAAACAGAATAAGATATTATTAAATGTGGAAAAATAACTAGATCATTTCTTTTCTAGGACAATTTTATAATTCATTTTAAAATAATCTTGAAATCACACTTTGTTTTTTTAATGGATACAGAGCTTAGTGTCTAGTGCTATATGTGAAAAATGAAGAAAGTAATCTGAGCATTTTCCTCAAAGATATCAGGGGAGACTAGAAGGGAAAACTCCAGAAATAAAAAAGATTCTCTTACCTACTTTAATCTCTAGAAATATTTTCATTGCAATTTTCTGTTAAAGGCTACTCATACAATACTTCACGCAAGGTTACTTATGAAACACAGTGACATTTAAAAATCACCATGCTATTCTATTGCAGCAGAGTAATTTTTTTCAACATAAGATTAAATTGCAAAATAAATGAATTACTTGGAGTGGCATAGCCCCCATTTTGCCACCCTTCTGTTGAAAATTGCTTATTAATATGAAAAAAGGAGTCAGAAAATAGCCTGTTTTACTTTAAGCCTAGTATTTTGGGGGCTTCCACACCCACAGACCTGGGCTAGCTGCACATTTAGATTGTGTTGGCAAGCTGGTACAATGACCTTTTTGACCTGCATCTCAAGGCTATTATTAATAGCTAAGTTACCTGGTAAAGCCAAACAAATTTGTTTCCATTGAAAGGATCTCTATCTGTATCTGAGAATTTGTTCTGTACCAAACAAACCTCATTAACTGTGTTCATTTTTGACAAAGAACCCAGAGTTAGAGGGATTGGTGACCTTTCTTTGTCCTTAAGGTACAAATCTCAAGGCAGTTACATACAAATAAATGAAAACTTTTACTAGAAAAAATAAAAATCATATGTTACATAAAAAAGTGAATACATTATTCATTTGAATCTTTACCTATAGTATTAAAAAAAAATGAACATTTCCTTTATAATTTCTCTTATAAGGCTTAAAATAAATGGAAATAACTAATGAAATGCTACTTTAAAAAATGTCAGAAACCACACCCATCCAATTCTGTATTTAATCAAAGATAAGGAAAATATGAAGAACTTTGTGCTCTATAAATGACTTAATGATCATCAGGAAATCTTATATAAAAAAGAATATATATATATATATATATATATATATATATATATATATATATACACACACACACGAATAGGTAAGGTAAAAAAGAAGTACACAGAACTTAGATAGAAGATCAAAACTGTAACTTATTTGAAGCAGTGAAAACAATCTATCTTCAGGCTATGAATATACAAAATAAAAACAGCTTGTACTTGAGGAATAGGACAAGGAGAGCTAAAAGTGGGTGATAAGTAGAATGTCAGGTTCCAGTGAATAAAGAAACCACACAGTAAACACAGAAGAAACTAGGAAGTCACTCTCCTCCAAAAGAAAAAGAAAATCTAAGAAACTAGACAATATACAAAAACTAATCTAGGATAATCTTGAGACACAAAAGTATTTAATAAATTCATAAAATTTTTGAAAATATATCAATTCTCAGTATCCTAAATTAGTAAAGTACTGCATGTATTAATGTGTGTATTAATTAGTGTAAAAAATACACTGAATACCTCAGTTATATTTGTGTCAAACTGGCTTTGCTGAATGACAGGTAGGAAAAGCTGAATGAATTATTCACTTTTGGTATACAAGTTTCAGTTACATCAATACGAGAAGATATGGTCCAGTGTGAACCTGAAACCAAACCCATTATGAGATGTAATAAAAATTAAACTCCCATTAAAAATAAACTGATGGAAACCATTCTAACTAGGATCCTCTAGAAAATTATAAAAATGACTAATTTTTAATCTTAGAATTTTTTAAACACAGTACTTTTGAAACACTTGAAATCTTTCCAAATACTTTCAGGTTTTTACATTTCAGCTATATTTTCTTATTTCTACCCTCAAAAAGGAACTCTGGTAGCACAGTGCCTAAGGCACTTGACTGCTAACCAGAATTCTGGCGGTTCAAACCCACCAGCCACTCCTCAGAAGGAAGGTTGGGCAACCTACTTCCGTAGTGATACCACCTTGGAAACCCAAGGAGGGGTCGCTATGAGTTGGGTCCAACTCAATGGCACAAAACAACAACAGCAACAATAACCCTCAAAAAAAAGAAAAGAAAAAAAAGAAAGGTCCTGTTATATATATGAGATATCAAACCTTTTGCTGTCAAGTCAATCCTAACTCATAGTGAACCTATAGGACAAAGTAGAACTTCCCCCAAACAGTTTCCAAGGCTATAACATTTACAGGAGAAGCATGCTGCCACATCTTTCTCCCATGGAGCAGCTGGCGGGTTCAAACTACTGATCTTTTGGTTAGCAGCTAAATGCTTTAACTACTGAGCCACTAGAGCTCCTTGGCACATAGTTAAAGGTGCTCTGCAAATGTTAGCTGTTTATTGAAAGCTTACTATGAGCCAAGTACTAAGCTACTTGCTTTATTTACTCTGCTGGATAAAATATTTGATGTTTTCTCAAATTCCCTCTAAGACTTCTGCCTTTCTCTCTCAGGACAGGCACACCCTTAGGTGAAATTTTACACTACAGAGCAGGGAATCTGGCTCCTAAGAGGTCTAGGGTATGCCTTGACCAAGGTAGAATGGGAGACTGAAGCGAATTATGGAGATAAAGTTCCCCTTCTTCTACTCTCCATGTACTAAGTGGTTTCTCCCTGCATACTGAAGAAACCCTTTATGGCTAACAATCACAGATATACCTGCTGCATAATGCTGAGTTCAGCTTCTCGGATTATTTGCTCAGCACACAGATTGAATAAGTATGGTGAAAGGATACAACCCTGTCACACTGCCTTCTTGATTTCAAACAATGCAGTGTCCTCTTATTCTGTCTGAACGATAGCCTCCTGGTCTATGTACAGGTTCCTCATGAGTAATTAATTAAGTAATTAAGTGTTCTGGAATTCCCATTCTTCTCAACATTACCCATAATGTGTTATGATCCACACAGTTGGATGTTTTTGTATAGTCAATAAAACACAAGTAAACATCTTTCTTGTAAATAATCCAACATGGACTATATAAAGAAGAATGTGGCATCAGGATTGAAGGAAGAATCATTAACAACCTGCGATATGCTGACAACACAGCTTTGCTTGCTGAAAGTGAGGATGACTTGAAGCACTTACTGATGAAGATTGAAGACTACAGTCTGCAGTATGGATTACACCTCAATATAAAAAAAACGAAAATCCTCACAATTGGACCTATAAGCAACATCACGATAAATGGAGAAGAGATTGAAGTTGTCAAAGACTTCATATTACTTGTTTCTATAATCAACAGCAATGGAAGCAACAGTCAGGACATCAGACAGTGTATAGCACTGAGCAAATTGGCTGCAAAAGACCTCTTTCAAGTGCTGGAGAGCAAAGATGTCTCCTTGAGGACTCAGGGGTGCCTGACACAAGCCATGGTATTTTCAATTGCCTCATATGCATATGAGAGCTGGACAATGAATAAGGAAGACCAAAGAAGAGTTGATGCTTTTGAGTTGTGGTGCTGGTGAAGAATACTGAAAGTACCATGGACTGCTAAAAGAACTAACAAATCTGTCCTGAAGGAAGTGCAGCCAGAATGCTCCTTGGAATCAGGAATGGCCAGACTTCATCTCACGCACTTTGTTTGGTCATGTTGTCAGAAGGAACCATCCCCTGGAGAAGGATGTCATGCTTGGTAAGGTGGAGGGTCAACGAAAGAGGGGAAGGCCCTCAACAAGATGGATTGACACAGTGGCTATGGCAATGGGCTCAAGTATAGCAAGGGTAGTGGAGCTGGCACGGACCAGGCAGTGTTTCATTCTGCTGTGCATAGGGTTGCTATGAGTCAGAAATGACTCGACGGCACCTAACAACAACATCATGCTGAGTCACTTTGGGACTCTGTCTGAAGCAGTAACCAGAGCTGCAGAAGCCTATCATGTCACATTCCTCCTTATAGGACAAGTCATTCAAACCTCCAGCTGCACAATGCTCACAGCTGTATCCATCTAAGGAAAATGAGCTGTCCAGCTCAACGTTCAGAACCTTGATTCAGATTGAATCAACGTTGACCGTTCTAACAAGACATTTGAGTTCCAGAATCTCAGACTGGCTGAAGACTGACAAAGTTCAACTTCTCCCTCTGCCTTCCTTCTCCCTTCCATTAGAAATGTTATTCTCAGGAATGTTCCAAGAAAACACCTGCACCAATTCGCTGTCTCAGAGTCTGTTTCCTTCTATGACACTTCTCATCTTAT